ATTCACAACGAAGTGTTTAATTTAATTATATTAATTTATATTATATTCAAATTATTTTTAACGTGAACATTATTAGTATGGAAATGTTACTAATAAAGAGGCGATGGTTTCTTAATGAAAACAAGCCCAAACACGATGCATGCAAGTTGGATAATGTTAAAGTGTAGGGGACTCTTACAAAAGTGTATAATCGTACAAGAGGTCAAAAGTGTTTTTGAACTAAATTGAATAGACAATGGAACGTTCGATAATTTACTAAGACGAAACATTTTCTGCCAAGTTTCACCCTTGTCTGATTGGAAAGGTAGTTGTAAATAGAAATCGGATATTAGATTTTGTTACACATTCTTTACTTAGTTCCATGAAAAACTTCGGAAAAAATCTGACACTTTAAACAAGAAAGTGAATCAATCTTCTCCGTACTTCAGCACTCTTGTTAATCTCACGCATGAAACGCATTTTCTACTGGATAGCGTGAAATTTGCATGTTTTCTTTAACCCGTGAATAATTATACTGTAGGGTAGACTGAGCTGAGTTGGATCAGTTCAAATTTAACAACGAAAAACTAATAGTTAAAATTGAAAATGAGAGTTTTTTCCCCTGGATTTCTTATTAATAGACATTCAACATCAACATCAGTAAAAAATTATGTAATTATGTAATTGAAGATGAATTTACTTCCTGTATTTGTAACAGAAGCTGTAGTCAAGCTCTTGGAGACACAGTGCGCGTAACGAGAAGGCTACTATTTTACGCTGAAGTTAACATGACTGCATAATTATGACGTTTACATACTCAAATGATATATTTATTCAGAATCAGGGAGAACTGTAAATATCTTTTACTTCAGATTATATCTTGGATTGTTTTTTTAAGTTTAAATTTTCTATATACAGCGGTGTTCCAAAGTTCCCGGCTGAATCGTTTTTGGTTAATTGAGTCTATGCCACATCGTTGTGCCGCTGTCATTGCGAATGCAAAGTGTATGGCAACAAACTACTAAGTGCGGTATGTTAAATACTTTACATTAAATTATTATTATAATAGAAAACAAGCGTCATTTTCTTTTTTAAACACTCTGATCGAAAGCCTTTGAACATGTTGAATTATTTATTTCTAAGGAAATATGTGTAGAGAATAGATAGTGTTGATTTCTTTACAGTATCCTCTCATACAATATATTCTTTATATGTTATAATAACAAAAAGTTCTTAAAACCTTTATTATGTCAGAAAAGTTCCAAAAACTTTGAACACCACTGTATAGAGCTGTTCACGTTTGCAAATTTCTTTTACTTATTTTTAAAATAAAGATATACTTTATGTTTTGTATGGGATTGAATAAATATATAGATAGTTTCATTAATTAAAGAGAAAAAATTAAAGCTCTTGATGACCGTGTTTTTAAAAAATTTGTTCCGAATGATTTAATCCTTTAGTTCCCAGCAGCATCGTCTTAACTCTTTGAAGACGGAGGTCGTCAAATTGGCGACATTAAAGTTTCATGTCTAGAATATAAAATTGCAAACAAACAATTTAATTATTCAAATAAACAAAGCTCGGGAACTTGTTTCCTTTTTCTTGCGATTAAGAGTTCCATGTATTATTTAGCTTCCCCTGCGAGAGGTTTCAGATATTTTGAAAAATCCTCGACCACAAAGGATGAAAACCATATACCTACTTCAATATTAATAAATTACGAACCAGTGGACTATTTACAGAGCCACCAGTACAAAATCAATACAATAATAACCACCAATTTAATCAACATTTAGAATACTATTTTCTATAAACTATTTATTTCTATTAACAGTAATAACTTAGTCAACGCATATTATGAAAATTCCTGTGAAAATTTTTCACCTATATTCTAAAAATAACTGTATTTTTCCTAAAACTTATTATTTAGAACCTAGACGGTTAAACCGCTTATCAAGAGGGTCTCAGTTTCAGTTTCAAGTCAGATATCAGTCATACACAGTTCCACTAAGTTTCCGCCGTCGGAACCTCCGTTGATGAATTTCGAATACAAAGCCAACCCTAGAACTTGTATAGGGACACAGCGTCGGGATTACGAATTTTTCTCGTCGCGCCGATTCAACGAGCCACCCGTAGAGGTGGAACTACCAATATAGTATAAGAACACGACTATGAAAGATTGTCGAATTTCTAGAAGGGCGAGGCCCTTTTGTTGGTCTCCCTCGTGGGAGCCAGTACGCCCACTCCGTGGCCGATTACTTTCCTCCCACCTAGCTCTGTTCACCTACACCGAGGCGGTATGCGTATTTCGCCACGTAAGCCGCAGTTAAACCCTGAAAGATATGCGCGCAACGGTCATGTAACGACATGAATTTGCGATCTCGCCGCGGCGCAGATTGAATCGTTCATTCCGGGGACGCGAAATTGTTGGAACGCGCGACTCGCGCGCTCGTCGCGACGTGTTTCAGGGGAACTGATTATGAGTTATCCCCCGCGGATGTGTACGCGCGCACACAATTCCCTCCGCGGATTCTTTTCTTCTCGTTTCGTTACGTTTCGTCCCGTGCAGCAGCGAATGCTGAAATAATGCGATACGCTGGATGCCAACGAGTTTGAGGGAGGAATTCCTACGACGTCTTTGCAGCCGACTAAAACGTCGTCTCTATCTTTTGTGAAGACTGAAATACTTACGTTTTTAGATGTTTAGAGAGTGGTTTGTTTAAGTATGCTTCGCTTAACCCTTTGCACTCAATTTATTTTCAATTGGTTTGGATATAAACTTGTATTTATTTTTAGGGATATGTATGAAGGTAATTTTCAGCGGTAGAATTCAATGTTTTATATTTATTTCATTTATTATTCTTATAATGAGACTTAATTTGTATAATCTTTTGAAGTGTGGTACTTTTTAAAGTGTCACAAATAAAGTATAACAAATTTGTATTGTCATCTCCAGCATGATATACGAGTGCATGGGGTTAATACTAGAACTACCGAGCGTTTAGTGTGATTGATATGTAATATTCATAAAAGTATTAAAAGTAATATATAATATAAATAAAAAGTTAACAAATTTTTCAATTTATTAGTAACTATCGTTAATAACATTTTTACTATATAAGTCTGGCAATCTCCTTTTAACACTTTGAAATATTTTGTATTTTACAAGTTGTGTGGTTTTTTAAATCTTTCTTGCCTAATATGTTTACTTCTTGTAGTTTTCTTTCTTGATTTTTTTATATCTATTTCCAATATTTTATCTAAACCATAATATTCAGTTTTAATTGTATTAAAGAGAATACCGTTAAACTATTTTAGTGTTTTTTATCAAAATAAAATTTTTCGAATTGTCGTTATATTCATATTAAGTACTGTATATTACTTGTTATTGAATCTTTATCTTTACGTTAAAATTTAGAGTGACTGAAACGAAAATTGTCGCGTTTAAAGTACGTGAATCAATCTTTATTCAAATTGCTTGCAGGAATTGTGGATTCCAAACGTTGCTACAATATTTACAACAGTTTTGGAGAAGATACAACCATGATTAAATCTTATGAGCAAAGAATGTCGTAAATATTCGTCTCATCTACTTGTTTTTACATCTTTCTTAACAAGCTGACCATTGATTCAGCATTAATTAAAATCCCATAATTTAAAGAAATTCACTCAATGAAATAGAAACTCAAAAGTCTACATTATTCAAAATTTTTCAGTTCGATTCCTCTTTTATCTTTCTTGTATCTGATCAACTGAACAAAATTTAGTGCGTGCAATACATCACAGAAAAAATTAATTTCTAAAACTGTACAAAAATCAATGACATCTGAATTTGGATAACATGGCAGTAAAGGTGATAAAGCTATTAACCCAAATTTCCATCTGCAATTAAAAATTCGCCAACATAAACTTGTGGAGGAAAGAAAAAATTATCAAGTAATATATAACATTTAATATAAACATAATAGCACTATAAAAATAATGTTATGATGATAAAAAACATCACGAGTTTATGATACGTTAGGAAAAATTCGATAAAAAAAAGGAAAAATGTAATTTAATGAATAGTAGTTTGCAAATATGACTATCATCAATTTGAATACATTCAAATATGTATATAGAAAATATATACATATATAGAAAATTTGAATTTAAAAAATACAATCCAAGATATAATCGGAAATGAAAGAGATTTGCATTTCTCCTTGATTCTGAGTAAATATATAATTTGAATATATAAACGTCATAATTATGTAGTCATATTAACTTATACGTAAAATAGTAGCCTTTTAATCATGTATACTGTGTCTCAAAGAGCTTAATTACAGCTTCTCTTACAAATACAGGAAGTAAGTTCATCTTCAATTATGGGTTTTGCGAGGTGATTTACACAAGCATTAATTTGCGTAAACATCTATAATATAATGATGTCCAACAAGAAAAACATTAG